ACTCAGAACCTGGAGCCTGCCTCAGATTCTGTGTCGTCCCCCCCACCCCCTCCCTGCCCCTCCCCCGCTCGCTCGCTCTCTCAAAAGTAAACAGTAAAAATGTTTTTTAAAAACCCAGGAAAGAATGACAGTTTAATTTTTTGTTTGATTTGTTTGATTTATTTTTTTAAGGATGCTCTAGAGAGGTATAAGAATGTAGTGTAGGAGTCATCTGACTTGGTATAGGTTTAGAGCTTGGTGAATCTAGAGTCCTCACACATTAATCTGTAAAGGACCAGATAAAAAATATTTTAGGTTTTGGGGCCCCTGGCTGGCTCAGTCTGCAGAGCATAGAATTCTGGATCTCAGGGTCTTGAGTTCAACAACCCATGTTGGGCGTGGAGCCTACTTGAAAAAAACATTTTAGGTTTTGTGGGCAAAAGCAACAACAGACAATATGTAAACAAATGGGCTTGTCTGTATTCAAACAAATGTTAATGGCATCAGTTTCCTCATCTATTCAGTGGGGATAGAACTTTGCATAGTTATTGTGAGACCCACCTGACAAGACCCGCCTTAATTACTAATGTCACCTGGCACCCCCCAGTCACTCCTGCAGCCAACAACCTGTTGACTCCCTTCCTTCAACACATTCCAGGGCCTACCTGCTCTGTTCCAGTAAAAATGTCCAAGAACTCATTGACACCGAAAGGTAAATCACTAGTAACTGAAAGTAGTACCTTTTAGCTGCAGCCTAAGGATAGGGTTAGGGCTTTTTTTTTTTTTTCTTTTTTTAAGTTTGTTGGTAGGGAAAAGGGAAAGCAGGGTTCCTTTCCAGCACCTGAAATCAGACTGCACATGTAGCTGTTTCCAGGATCTGGACTCTTGGGAAGCCCTTCCTAAAGGCCTTTGACCTTGAGGAGCCCCCACCCTTCCGCAATGCCCGACGGCAGCCTGCTGAGCAGACCGGCCAGCTTCAGACGGTGATGTCTACTGCTGTTGGTTGAATGAGCCTCCGGTGCCCCGTTGGCTCCCCATTTGGATGACGGTGGAGGAAGCGACACTTCCTGAGACCTGCTCCTTTCATCTGAAAATTGAAAATCATCCCCAGAACGTCTCACTGCCAAGGTGTCAGAGTTCCCCAACATCGGCCTGACTCAGGCACTGAAGAACTTCAGGGACACCAAGGAGATGCTCCTAAAAATCCTCCAGACTAGCTTGTTGAGGGCTAATAGGCCTCGGGGCAGGGCCAGTGGCTTCCGGCCTACACTGGGGATGCAGACATCCAGAAGAGAAGGGCCAAGGGACTGCTCTTTCCATCTAGGATGAAGTGACTGGCCGACAGTAGGCTTCTGAGGGACGAATAGTCAAACAGACAATGGCCAGACCATCTATAAAAATAGGATTTTGATCCCCAGTTGGCAGCAAGCAGCACAGGAAGCCAACCTAGTGTCTACACATCAGACCTGTAGGAAGTCAGACCACCATCTCTAGCAACCGGCACAGGAAGCCGGACCATAGCCCCTAGAATGATCAGCCCCAAACAGCCAAGACTTTATTAACAGAGATAACTTCCCTAATTTTTGTCCCCACTTCCAACTTAGGACCAACCAGAGAAAGCCAAATATGCCCTGTTTCTAGTTAGCTCCCTACGGACTTCCTGTGCCGACAGCTTCCGAGCGTGGCTTATGGTGTATCTTTTTTCACTATAATGCTTTCCCACTTCTCTGCCTGCCTTTCAGTTTCTGCCACACACAAGTGATGGTGGCTGACTCCCTTGCTATACTAAACTCTGAATAAATAGCTTCAGCTTGTTCTTAGAAAACAAAAAAGGCAGCAGGCCAGAGTTACTGACCTCTGATCTAGAAGAATAGTATTGGACTCGTGACAAGATCCCAGTCACAGATGAAGCAAGACAAAAGCGGAGATGATTTAGTTTCTTTAACAAACACTTATAGAGCACTTACTCTGTGCTGGATGTTCTAAACACTTTACAACTGTGGCTAATCTAATTATCGTTAAAATACTGAGAGGGATAAGCACTGATGATCCCTATGTAGAGAAGGGTAAAATGCTCAGAGAGGTTGAATGATTTTCTCAAGGCCACACAGTGAGTGGCAGGGCCAGGATTTGGATGCAGGGAATCTGGCCATGCCCCTCTGTTCTGTGCTGTTGAGAGAGGGGAGCTCCACTTGTCCCAGAGCATCTGGATGACAGGGTCTGGTATTGTCCCTGTATCCCCAGTACCTAGGCCGTAGCGGACCTCAGTCAGTTGCTGCAGAACAGAAAAGGAATAAAGAACGAGTAACAGAGGTGCCTGTCCAGCCATTGTGATGATGACTTGTCCCGTGGGGCTTACTTGGGCTCACTGTGTCCCTTGTGCCCACTGCAGGGGACCCAAAGGTGCCGGTACTGTATCAGGTGGAGCGGACGCGAACAGGGACGAGCTTCTCTGTGCGCTCCGTGAAGGCCGTGCAGCATGGCAAGCCCATCTTTATCTGCCAGGCCTCCTTCCAGCAGGCACAGCCCAGCCCCCTGCAGCACCAGTTCTCCATGCCCGCTGTGCCCCCACCGGAAGAGCTGCTTGACCATGAGGCCCTCATTGACCAGTATTTAAGGTGAGAGACCTGGAGGCTCCAGGGCAACTGCTGCTGTCACCTGTTAGTGGGTCGTAGAGTCCATTTTAAAACTCTAGGGGAAAAAAACCCATATATGTGTATGTATGTGTGTATACGTATACATATATATATATAGATATAGATATATATATATGTATACGTATATGTACAACGTGTGTATACATACATAGAGAGAGGGAAGGAGAGAGAAGGACCAGGAAAGAAGATATTGGAGCATATCGCATAGGGAGGGTAAGAACCCTTTTGTGAAGCTTTAGTTTCAGTTGTGTGTGTTGTGGAGTGTGCGAGTAGGTGTGCATGGGCAAGTATGTTGGGTCACGATATAAACACAGAGCTTAGTGATTCAGCCAGTTCAGGTACTGTTGCAGCTTTACTGGTTGCGCAAATACTGAAATACTTTTGTAATTACTTGGTGCGTCCCTTCCCGGTCTCTGAGTGATCCCTCTCCTCCTCTGGGGTCACTCGTGATCCAGCAGCCCAGGAGTTCATGCCGGGCAGGGGTGACGGTCCCTGCTGCCTTTGCCTTCGTGGGTGCTAAATGTTTTGAGTATCGCCTGGTAAAATATATTTCTTACTTGGATCGTAGCTAATAAAGTTGGAAAAGTGCTGGGGCAGGGGAGAGAGCTCTGGGTCCCGACACAGGACAGACAACGGATTCTGGATTCTGGCCGGGTCTGTGCCTTTGATAGCGCTCGCCTGCTGTGCGACTTTGCCTGACTCCCCAGCCTCTCAGAGCCCTGCTTCTTCATGTGGAAAATGGGAATGGTCATGTTTGTCCTGCCTACTTCACAGCTGTCTCATAAGGAGAGCTCCCGTGTCTTGTGCTGCACGCTGGGGACATAGCACGGTATTGATGGGATGGATGTGGGTTTTATCTTTTGGTCAAGGCCTGGGTTCAAATTTAGACTCTTTCTGCTAGCTCTGTGAGTTTGCGCAAGTTGCTTTCCCACGCTGAGCCGGTGCCCACAGTTAGGAAATGTGCTAATCATAATTCCTCCCTCATAAAGCTGCTGTGAGGATTAAGTGAGGTAAGAGACAATAAGGTACTCAGTGAATGCTCCATAAATTGTAGTCACACCACTACCGACAGAGAGGAATAAGCAGAGAGCCTGGTCTGCCGTCAGAGCTCAAAAACGTTTGCTGAAATAAAAGGAGGACGTTGTTCTTAAGGGTCCGTAAATCTAGAGCTGTGCAGTCCAACAAGGAAGGCACTAGCCACATGTGGCTGGCGGCTTCTGTGGTGGAGAGTGCAGGTACAGAACATGCCATCGTCACAGGAGATCTGTGGGAGGGTGCCCTCGAGGGTGGGGTGAAAGTGGAAATACTGGTGAAGAGCACCAGGGCTGGTTGTTACTGTCACTAGAAATGGGCTCCTCCCCTGTGGGGACACAGTGTTCCCACTTGCTTAGGGTAACTCAGTCCAAGTTGTACAGCCTGTTTCTGAAAGTTGAGAATAGTGAAGTAGTTAAGAGCATGCGCCACACTGCCTGGGTCCGGACCCTGCCTCCTCCACTTGCTGAGCAAGCTACTTGGACTGTCGGGGGCTTAATGCATTTATCGGATCGGGGTGATAATAGCATTGTCTCACGGGGTCGTTGTGAAAAGTGAGCGTATGCAGAATGCTTACAACAGTGCCTGTTATGGGGTACACTTTGGTACTCCGGTAGCTACTGTCATTATCTACATTTTGCAGATGGGAAGATAGGCCCAGAGAGGTTACTAACTTGCCAAGGTCACGTGGCTCATAAGTGGCAAAGAAAGGATTCACACACTCTCCTTTTCTGCCTGCCAGAGAGGAGGTGAGCTGTGGGGAACAAGTCAGGAGTCCCTGTGGAGGACCGAGTGGGGGGGTCACAGAGGCAGCTCAGAGAGGCTCTCCCCTCCCCCTTTACTTTCAGGGACCCCAACCTCCAAGAGATGTACCGGGTGGGACTGAACCGAATTGCTGCCAAGGAGGTGCCCATTGAGATCAAGCTGGTAAACCCACCGATCCTGAGCCAGCTGCAGAGCAAGGAGCCCAAACAGATGTTCTGGGTGCGAGCCCGGGGCCATATTGGTAAGAGGACCCCAAGGAGTGGAAGAAAACACTCTCCAGGGGTCTCGGCCTGTACCTCATATGCCCTGTGTGGTGCTGGGCATGTTACTTCCCCTCTCTGGACCTGTTTCCTTGTCTGCATAGTGGGGAGTTGGCTTAGCTTCTCACCGGGACCCTCTCGGCCGCTTGTATGGGGAAAAAGGGGAGGGGACTATAATCATCCTGATGTCGGCCCTTTCTGGGGAAGGCAAGGTACCTTGCTGGTTCTTCTCCAGGACCTCTGCTAACCATACGGTGCCTCTGTGCAGGCTGGAAGAAGATACCCCTTAAAGGACCCAGTGAGGGAGACCTACGGAGTGAAGACTGGATTTCAGTCTTCACTCACCCCTGTCCTCTGCCCATCCCTGCTGCCTTTGTCACCTGCCACACACACACACACACACACCCCGTAGGCCAGGTGCCCTGATACAGTGAGTAGTCTACACATCTGTGTGTGGCAGCCCCTCTCTGCCCCCCGCCTCCCTGCAGGTCCTGAGCTGTAAAGCCCAGGAGCCCAGGGCTGATGGGGCTGGAACGTGTTGCAGGGGAGGGCGACATGAAGATGCATTGCTGTGTGGCTGCCTACATCTCGGACTATGCCTTCCTGGGCACAGCACTGCTGCCCCACCAGTGGCAGTGTAACGTGCACTTCATGGTCTCTTTGGACCACTCCATGTGGTTCCACAACCCTTTCCGAGCTGACCACTGGATGCTCTATGAATGCGAGAGCCCCTGGGCTGGTGAGTATGGGGCCACCAGGACAAGGGTGCTGACGTTGGGGGGCAGGAAGCCTGCTTTCTGGGGTGATGCTGCCCTCCGCCCCCAGCCTGTGGGGCACTGCACATGTCACTTCCTCTCCTGCCTCCTCTAGGCTCTGGCATTCTTTTCTTCAAAAGGACAGGGTGAGGCTTGAAACGGGACACCTGCTCAGCTTACTATCTGTAACAGGCAGAAGGTACTAGAGACCCGGTTCTAGTCCAGAACCACTTCAGATTCTCTGTGTGATCCTGGGCAAGTCCCAGCGCCTCTATGAGCCTCAGTTTCCCCATCTGAACAAATAGGGTCCCACGAGCAGTGGTATCTGAACCTGGTGGCCCATCAGACTGCCACTTGGGGGAGCTTTTTCAAAATAGGTTCTCAGATTTTACCCTCAAGATTCTGACTCAGCACGTCTTGGATAAAATCCAGGAAACTATTTTTGAGAGGCTCCCTGAGCAATAGTGCTGATTAGCCAACCTGGTTGGGGTCAGGGCCTTCGGTCGTCTCTGAGGGCTCCACAACTTGGACACTGTTAGCGCGCAGAGAAGCCCAGACTCGTTCATCAGTGCCTGGTCTCAGAGCCCTGGGCTCCTTTCTAGGGAACTACTTTTCAAAGGAAGAAAAGCCTCGCTTTGTAAAACAGGGACAAAACTTAAGGGATTCTATATTCAGGGAAGGGGGTACTCTCCAGTACCAACAGTATCACAATACAGGATCAACAGCCTTGCAGTTAGGATGCTTGGGTTCGGGTTTGGCCGGCTCCTTATGGCCGAGTTCCTGAGCCTCCTGGGACTTTGCTGTCTTCATCTGGAAAATGGGTGAGGCCTGTTTCAGTTGGCTACTATAAGAACTAAGTGAGCTCTACTCTGTGTAGGGGAGACCAGCAGCTCCCTTCAGAACCTTCCAACTCAGGCCCAGGGTTAGCTGGGGAATCTCTAAGCAGGGAAGGAGGGGTGGCCAGCCCTGATGGCCCCAGGCCCTCCCTCCACCCCCTTCTTCCTGCTAGTGGGGTGGGGGCAGTGTGGGAGTCTTTTTCATGAACCACCCTGGAGGACCGGTTTCATTTATTAGAAAGGGAAGTGACAGGTTTGCTACCACAAGTGGCCAGGGTGGGTGGCTCGACCCGGCCAAGCTACTGACCAAGACTGTCCTCAGAACTCCTCCCCTGTGATCTTTTTGAGGAAGCCAGTGAATATGTGAAAGTGCTTTCAAACTGTCAAGCGGGGTTCCCACAGGAGTTACCCCCAGGGACCATCCATAATAGGCTCATAAAGGGGCACCTAGAGATTGGAAGAGGCCACAACACTCAGTGTGCCCTTGTATGGGGCTGTCAGACCAGTTGCACCCTTTTCAAGCAGCACATTATGCTGGGCTGTGAAGGAGCGAGAAGGTCATTCTCACCCTTCTCCTCACCCGCAGGTGGCTCCCGGGGGCTGGTCCAAGGGCGGCTGTGGCGTCGGGACGGCATCCTGGCTGTGTCCTGTGCTCAAGAGGGCGTGATCCGAGTGAAGTCCCGGGTCTCAGAGAGCAAGCTGTAGCCAGAGGTACCAGCTTGGCCTGGGGCTTCTCCCCCAATTCCTGAGGCAGGAATTACAGTCAAGGTCTGGGCCTTCTGTCCCCAAACCCAATAAAGAGACTAATACCACTGGAGCTGCTGGCCTTTAATTCCCCTGGGCCAGGCTGCAGCTCTGCTCCAGCCCTCAGCTCCAGGACTCCAGAGGCAGAGTCCCTGGCCCTCTGGCCAAGGAAGAGGTGACACTGACCTACCCTGGGGCATCGTCCCCAGACATTCATGAGCTGGAGAGGCTGCATCCGGCTTCCTCCCTGCACCATCCCAGGGCAAGCCCAGCCGAAGCTTGTCCTGAGCCCAGCTCGACAGAAAGAACGTATTTCCTTGGTTTGCTACAAATTCTTTGTAGGACTTACAGGGGTTCCCAGCACCCCCTACCACTTCCCAACTGCTGTGTCCTTACTGCCCATCCCCATCCCCCATCCTGGGGCAGTGCCTCTCCCCACAGCAGCAGTAAGTCTAGTCCAGTACCTCCTTGATGAGCAATTCTTTGAGACTGGGGGGTGGCGTGGGGGTCAGACCTGCTTCCTGCAGGGCCTGGAGGCGGGCCTCTGATTGGCGTTTGTCCAGGCCCAGGCGCCAGGAGAGCCGCACGTGGGCCTCCAGAAAGGGTGCCAGCAGAGGGTGGGGGTTCTTATCCCCCAGCAGTTGCAAGGCTCTCTCACAGCACGCCCGGGCCTCCCCAGGGTCCTCCAGCTCCTGGTGGCACACAGCCAGCCCAGCCAGGGTCAGCAGAGGGCGGTCTGGGCCCGAGGGGGTGCCTAGCTGGGTCTGCAGCTGCCAGGCATTGGCCCAGAGTGCCAGAGCCTCACGATAGAGGCCAGTGCAGGTGAGGCTCTGTGCCCGTCGCAGCTCAGGCAGCACGAAGAAGTCCTGCAGGTCCGGGGCATGGCGCAGCTCGGGCACTGCCTGCAGGTGGCTCAGAAACTGCTCAAAGGCCCGGCTGCGGCGGGCGATGGTCTCCGCGGTAAAATTCCGGCGCAGGCGCTTCCGGGGGAAGGAGATGGCAGCCATGGGGCCCCGGAACTGTCGCTGCAGGTTTCGGTGCAACCGCTCAAAGTCCGAGTAGCGGCGAGAGATCTGGGCTGGCTGGCGATCAGGTGGCCCTGGACCCATCACGGCGAGGGTGTAGAGCTGCGGGGAGGGTGGGGTCAGGGCAGGTGTGAATTGTCCATGTACCCCTCCCCTCCCCACACCCGCACTTCAAGCTCTGTTCCCCCACCTCTCCCCTTAGTCCCTGAGACTGGGCCCAGGAGGGTGGGAGCTGCTGGGGCAGCAGCTAGGGAGCCCAGTCCCATCTTACCTGAGGCTCGTCTGAAATGACCCAGGCCCAAGGCAGCACGGGGAGAGAAAGACAGAGATGAGCTTCAGTGCCTAGAGCTGCCACCCCTTTTGTCCCTTCCAGGGAGCACTCCCTTCCCATAGGGTAGTTAGCTCTTCTGATAGCCTCTCTGGAAAACCAGCGGTGAGCTGAAACCCAGGCGACTTTCTTGGGCCTCTGAACCAACCTTCAGGACCAGCCTGGGGCTTTGCTCCACTCTGGACACAGAGCCCCCACCTCCTTAGCTAGGTTATTCCAAACGGGCGGAGAGGTCTTCAGACAGCCCTGGTAGCGGTCATTGTGAAAAGGACATTGGGCACTGCACGAACTCCTGGGCAGCTACTCCCCTGGAGGTGTGTATCCTCAGGCAAGGCAGTGCTCCCCCTTGGGTCCGCCCTCCTCTCTAGTGAATGAAGCACTGGCCTAGGTCATGTCTACTCAAGTGGAATGTGTATAAATACATGTTGGTCCTGAGATTTTAGGTGCTATGTGCTGGAGTAAATAACACTGAATCAGAGACAAGAGGTGACTCCCCCTAATTTGAATCCTGACTACAGATTAAGAGGCTCTCAGTCTGATTTTTAAAATGCACTTCTCCAACACTTCTCACCTCCACCTTGAGAAAAGTGCTAGAAAGCAAATCTCCGGGCAGAGCCTTCGGGCAATAGCATTCACACAGGGTTTAATGACACGGTGTCATTTTTCACGGATTGTATTGTATTAATTTTTATGGTTCTCTTTATGGCAAACTAGGCTTTCCCCATACAGTAGAACTTTAAAATCTTTTGAACTTGTTTAAGACGAAAAATGTTAAGCAAGGAATAGTACAAGTGGCATTTAGCCAGGACAAGAATCGTGAAGGTGGTGCTGGAAGGACCAGTGTCTGAGAAACACGGGGCAGGATGACCGTGAAGCTGAGAACCTGAACACGGATTAATCTAGCATAATGCTGAGCCACCAGACTTAAAAAGGGGGATTAGTGAGCATCAGGTGTTGAAGGCACACCAACACCAAACCCAGACTTTTCTCGAATTTGCTCTGCGAAACTGCCAACATTACAGCCACCTCTGGTCAATTAGGCTTGCTTATTCTATACTTCTCTGGAAGGTTCAGTGTACGGTAATATTTTAAAGGATTAAGAAGTTTAACCTTGGGGTTCCTGGGTGGCTCAGTTCGTTGAGCATCTGACTTTGGCTCAGGTCACGATCTCACAGTTCGTGGGTTCGAGCCCCATGTCAGGCTCTGTGCTGGCAGCTCAGAGCCTGGAGCCTGCCTCAGATTCTGTGTCTCCTCTCTCTATCTGCCCCCCAACCCCCGCCCCGCTTGTGCTGTCTCTCGCTCTAAAAAATAAATGAACATTACAAAATAAAAAAAAAAAAGTTTAACCTTAAAGAAATTTATTCTTCAATTCTGCTTTCCCAAAACATATCGACTGCAAATCTTTTTTTTTTTTTTAATTTCTTTTCTTTTTTAGAGGAACAATTGTTAACATTCCCAGAAAACAATTTCCTGCAGAATACACTTCAAGAAGCATTGGTCTAAAATGACCCCTTATATTTATCTAGCTTTTACTTTTAGTTTTTTGGCAAAAAGAAAACATTTTAGATCCATTTTCTCATCTGACTCATCAAACACGTCCCCCCAAGTCTCACAGCTGGCAAATGGCCCCGCTGGGATTGAAACCCAGGCCAACCTAATTCCACAGCCTGTGCTCTTAACCCCCAGAAGTGAAGTCAGGATGTAGGGTCCCCACTGGACAGAGAAGGGGATTCGTCTCCCCAAACACGGGTCAGGACCTATCTGGCCATCCTGCTCTGTCTTATCATTCTCTTCCCAGAGTCCCACCCCCACCATGCTGCCCAGCTGCTCCTCGGGGTCCCTCTCTTGTGCATGACGCCTGGCTGGGACTTTCGCCACTTAAGACTAGATCATCAGAGGCATCCCTGCTCAAATTGGAGCAGGCACCCCATGGGCGTGGCCCCTGTTTACTAACAGCAGCGGAGAGGAATGGAGAGAGGCCCAGATGTGGGACAGTGCCACAGGCCCCTTTCCTGCTGAGTCAGAAATGGAGGAGGGTGGCGAAGATGAGGGATGTCTGAGGCAGGGAGCTGCCACTACCCAGACTGGCCAGGTCGGGCTGGGGCTCAGGACCTGGCGACCTCATTCTCCATGTCAGTTTCTCCTTTCCACAGCAAGGAAAACAGACTCCAAGGCCTTCCCCCACACTGCTTTTCATGCTAACCCCACCTACCCCCTAAATCCAGCCCTCAGAACAACATCATGGGGTACAGTGTGGGTGCCTGGGAACTGGGTTGTAAGGGTGCCACAACAGGCCCTACCTGGATGCCAGACATTTTCAAGCCAAGGTTAAGTCATAATAATAGAGGTGCCATTTTATCAAGCACTTCATAATGCCCGGCACAATGCTAAGGGCTTTCTTTCTGTGCACTGTCTCGTTTAACTTCTGCAACTGCTCAGATGAGAAAATAGCATTATCAAGGTTACACAACGCACCGAAGGTCAAACAGCTGGTAATAAGTGGGATCTGAATCAAGATCTGGATCCAAAAACCTTTTTTTTTTTTTTTTAACCACTAACCAATGCAACTTGGGTTTCAGGTCTGACCCAGATAATATTTTTTCCTATATATCTTGTATTTTGCTACAGTCTGCAAAACCTAGGGTTGGGGGGCACACACACCAGTTCTCTTTAGTCTCAAAACCAGGATGGGGGGCAGGTCCATAATCCCTCAGAGAAGCTAAATCATTTGCCTGAGGACTTGCTCAAGTTATATCTCCCTTCTGGCCTCAGTTTCCCCATCCCTAAAAAATGAAGTGATCCTTTAGAACTACACAGCCAGACTGCCCCCCTCAGGAAGTTGGAGTCTCCCCTACTTAGCCAGAGTTCTAAACTCACAGCCCAGGGGTTCCTGGACCCTCACTCACCACGTACTTGGAGGGCGGGTCCTTGACCACGTTGGCGCTGGTCACCTCGAAGAGCAAACGCTGGGGAACCAGGGTGTTCCGGGACTTCTTCCAGAAATCCTGCAACTGCCTTGTGAGGGGCTGACTGCCCCGCTGCCCATCAGGTGGGGGGCTTCGTTCTGCATGAGCACATGACCAGTTACATCAATGGGCCTGGGGCTAAGGTCGACATAAACCACATGCAGTGACCTCACTCATCCTCCCAACAGGTGAGACAGGCTATATCTCCATTTGACATAAATGTAAACCGAAAGCCAGGGAGAGGTCTAGGGCCAAACACCGCGCCTAGCAGAGCAGACGGCCGACTCTAAATAAATATTTCCACCCCCCAAACATCGCGAGCACATTGTTCGGATTTGTACATCCCGGATCCTGTACATTTAATGCCTGCAGCAACCTCGAGATGGGAGTGATTTCCCCCATTTGACACGAGGGAAAACTTGGCTCAGAGAGGTGTTGTGATTCTCTCAAGGTCACACAGCCAAGAGGTGGCTGGGGTGGAGGCCTAATGGAGCCCCAGGTCCCGCCTCTGTCCTCGGGAACTCGCCTGCATCTTCCCCCGACGCCCCGTCCCCGGCCGGCAGCGGGTCGGGGCCAATCTCTCCGTCGTCCTCGTCGTCCTCCTCCTCTTCGTCCTCGGCGCTGGTGAAGCTGAGGGTGCCGCTGAGGCGGGAGGACAGGCCCTCGGCGTCGTCGTCCTCTAGCTCCGAGCTCTCCGGGAACTGCTCGGCCTCCGGGCCGGACGCCGCCTCCCCCGGGCTGTCGCCGGCCAGGGCGTGCCGCAGTCGGTGCAGGAGCCGTGAGGCCATGGCACCCTGGGGGGAGCGCGCGACGCTCGGGCTGGGGCCGGGGAGTGAGGGAGACCGCCCCCCCCAACCGCGCGAGAAGGGGCGGGCCCAGTCAGGGGAGGGAGGGAGGGGCGCCGCGGAGGCCCCGCCCCTGCCCGTTGGGGGTCCTGCGAGCCCCGGGCGTCGCCTGGCGTCGTTTCCCTCCCACCCACGCAGCCTAGGGCCGAGCTCTGCCCGGGAGCGGCTGGGACCCTCCCCTTGTCTCTTTCGCCCCTTGGCGCGTCTCTCCCTCCGGCGCCCGCGGTGCACTCAGCGGCGCGCGGTCCCCCGGGGTCCGAGTGCAGTCCCGGCAGCTTACCGAGGCCGGCCGGGCTTCCCCGGGCTCAGGCCGCTCCGAGCGCCGCTCCGGCCGCTTCCTGCCGCCGCCCCGCCCCCGGCCCCGCCCGCTCCCCGGAGCCTCCCGGGAATCCCGGGCCTTTCGCTCCGGGAGGGACTTGGGAATCCTGGGTAGGCCTGGGCGAACCCGAGCCTCCTGCGGGATCCTACCCAATCTAAGGGGGCTCACGCCCTCAGTGAAACCTCCCGCTCGTCCCGAAGATCCCGTCAGTCCCGGTTGGCCCCAATCTGTCCCACAATCTCCACCCAGCACTCTTAACTTTCCAAAGTCATTATGCCACCGTTGGAAGCCCATCTCTGGTGAAAAATTTGAGCCAGGAGAAGACACGTGATCTGAGTTGGAATCTGGCCTCGATGAGCCTAGGTTTTCTCCTATGTAAAACAGGAATAATTAAAACTAGTACTAATTTTTCAGCCTTTGAAAAGGCACTGACTGGTTCAGTGCCTGGCACAGAGCAGAGGCTGACAGATTGATCAGTTACATAGTGATTATTGTTTCCATAGTGTTCTCAGGTTCTTACAACTTCATAATTGCATTTGAGCCTCACACATAGGAAGTAGCAAACGGGGAAGTGAGATCCAGAAAGGCAGAGTTACTTGCCCAGAGTCACACAGCTTGCCAAAGATTTCTGAATGTGGGGCCTTGCAGCCTAGGTCTCCTGAGTTCCTAATTCTGGTTTTGTTTTGTTTTCTCCCCCCACACACGGGAGGCGTGGTAATCTCAGCAGCTCTTCTAAAGGGCTGGCTGTGTTTCATCTTTTACCAGGAGGTCAGCAGGAGGAAGAATTTATTGTCACTTCTTGTCAAAAGCCCGAACTATCAGTCCCTAGCAGGGCAGATATTGTTGGTTATACAATTAAACAAATAAAATCTCTCTGACAATCGTTCCTACCCTTTTTGAATGGCACAAGAGAGAGGTGGAGGGAAATCGCTTTGAATGGAAAACATACTCCCTGCCCCCCTATGTGCAGAAAAGGCAGGGCTTTCATTTGAGGCTCCACTGTGTCCTACATCCTGTTCTAGGCATTTTATATGGGGTCACATGTCACACTCAACCTCTTGGGGGAGGGGCTGTTATTGGACAATAATGGTCCATTTTCAGGATGAAGAGGCAAATTGACTTCCCCAAAATCCAGAGCTAGGAAATAGGGGAGCTGGGATTTAGGGCCAAGTCTGTGTAATTTCAAGGCTCTAACTACTCTTCATTCAGCTTAGCAGTAGGGTGTTGAGGCAAAAAAGGCCCCCTTCATTCATTGATTGATTCAACACTCACTTATTCACCAAACACCAAACAAGAATATTAAGTTGTATTTTGGCATGTTTCACAAGTCTGGGTACAAGGCAGGTGTTCAAAAAAACCATGGGTTGTCAGAAATCTGATTTGGCACTTCTATTTTACAGATGGGAGGTCTGAAGGTCAGTGAGGGGAAGGGACCTACCTTGGGTCATACAAACAGGACCAGAACTAGATCTCCTGATGTCTTGTACCCTCCACTATCCTTGGATTCTGTGTAATATCTCCCTATAGCCTCCCTGAGAGATGGTCATTGAATTCCTGATTGCATACATTCAGTAACAGGAAGCTCATTATCTCCTGAGGCTTCCCGTTCCTGTTATTATTCAACCACGACAGTTAGGAAGTTCCTTCTCATAACCAGATGTCACCCAGTTCAGTTAGTCTTATAAAGAACAAGATATTTATTGAGCACTTGCTAAGTGCCACATGCTGAGGTGCTGGGGAATGCAGTGATGAGCAGGTAAGTGTCTCTGGTCCACGGAACTCAGAACAGGTCATGTCATGTGGCATGCTCAGGGATATGATTGAAGAAACTACCAGAAAACCACCCTGGACTGCTTTGGCCCGGGTAGAGGAGGAGGGATCCTGAAGGAAGTGATGTTATTTTTGATTTGTATTTTTTTTTTGCAACTAATCTCTACACCGAACATGGGGCTCGAACTCAAGATCCCAAGATCAAGAGTCGCATGCTCCACCGACTGAGCCAGCCAAACACCACAAGGAAATGATGTTAAAGCTGAGAAAGACGGGGATGTCTGGGTGGCTCAGTTGGTTAAGTGTCCGACTTCGGCTTAGGTCATGGTCTCATGGTTTGTGAGCTCGAGCCCCGCATCAGGTTCTCTGTCAGCACAGATCCTCTATCCGCCCCCCGCTCTGCCCCTCCTCTGCTTGTTCTCTCTCTCTCTCTCTCTCTCTCTCTCAAAATAAATAAATAAACTTAAAAAAATTTGAGAAAGATGACAGGGAAGTAGGCAGGTGTAGAGAAAGAAGACAGAATTACTGGCAAGAAAAAAACCCAGCATGTACAAAGACCTGAAGGCTAGAAAAGGTGATGTTTGGAGCCGCATTTAAAATTTTTTTTTTTCAACGTTTATTTATTTTTGGGACAGAGAGAGACATGAACGCGGGGAGGGGTGAGAGAGAGGGAGACAGAATCGAACAGGCTCCAGGCCCCTGAGCCATCAGCCCAGAGCTCGACGCTGGGCTCGAACTCACGGACCAAGCGAGATCGCGACCTGGTTGAAGTCGGATTTTGTCCCACTGGCGCCACCCAGGCAACATCGCGATTTTTAGTCTGACCAGAGCAGCAGGCAAGATGTGGAGGAAAGGGGATTGGGATTGGGATAACAAGGAATAGATAAATCTTCTTGTATTTCCCTGAATAAATGAAAGAACAAATCAGGGAACAAATGATTGCCGAGGGTTCCACACGCTGTTCCAAAGGAATCCTGCAGTTCCAGGGCTCACATCCAAATTGGAATCCCCTGGTGTCGCCAGCTGCTCTTGGCCCTCTGCCTGGACAGGGGAGGCTTTCATCGGGCTTAGCTGGGCCCTCCACTGAGCTTTTCTTGGGAATGCTCCAGCAATAGAGGAAGATGGCTGGCTGCCACTGTCTGTCTGGCCTTCCTTGGAATCCAGCCCTTCACTGGCCCCAGGCTCTGTGCTTAGTTGTCTTAGTGCTCTTTGTGTTGACTTAGCCACTGTCCACAGCATCACCTACCCCTCCAACATCCACCCTAGGCTTCAGGATGGGTGGACCCCTCTGACTGGACTCGCTCTGGCCTCCCGATCGCCAGCTGAGCTGCTCCAGACTTCCTCACCGAGCTCTAGGAACGGGCTAGCTGCCCCTTTACCCACGTAGAGAACCTGCCCCTAGTCCTCTAGTCTCCCTCTCCCTCAAAAAAGTGAATCCCAAACATCTTTTCCTCTGAGAAGGTGGCTTGAGAGATGGATCTGCTTTATTTCTTTTCTTTTCTTTTTTCTCTGTTTAAAATTTTTAGGTTTATTTATTTTGAGAGAGAGAAACAGAGCACGTGAGTGAGGGAGGGGCTGAGAGAGAGGCAGAGAGAGAGAATCTCAGGCAGGCTCCTTGCTATCAGCACAGAGCCCGATGTGGGGCTCGAACTCACAAACTCTGAGATCATGACCTGAGCTGAAGTCAAGAGCCCCATACTTAACCAACTGAGTCATCTAGGAGCCCCTTGGGAACTGCTTTCAAAGTTTATTTCTCCTCCAACTGCATACCCATTTCCCGGACCCCTCCATAGATTTCTTATTTGGATAGGACTTCCCTTGAGGATTAATAAGAATCACCCAACATGACTATAGACCTTTACGATTTACAAAGGTCCCCCGGGAAAAGGGAATAATAATAGCTTCTACCTCAGAGGATGAGCACCAGATGAGATCACGTGGTTAAAATGCTTAGCACAGAGTGTGGCACGTCGTAGAGGTTCACAAACCGTGGCTGTCACTTCCTCCTCGCCCCCTCCCCTGCCTTCTACCATGGTTCAAAGACAGGACATTCCACCTGCCAGGCATCAACCCTCTGGAGCTGGCACAAGCTAGGTGACTTGTACCTGGGCCCCCGTTTACCGTGGTCTCTCTGTGAGGGAAGTTATGACCGTCCCCATCTCCGTCTCGCAGAGAAGGAAACTGAAGCTCAGAGTGGCATCGTCACCTGCCTAAGAGTGCATAGCTTGCAGAGACAGGATTTGGATCTTGGGTTTTAGACTTCAAGTTTTGTTCTCTTCCCAGTCTACCTTGCTGCCTCACTTGTCTGTCTTCTGATTGTCCTTACCCATCTTGGAGCAAACATGATTCTTGAGCAGGGGCTTGCTAAGGCGGTGAGCGGGGCGGGTTCTCCTCCCAAGAATCTAGGACATCAAGGCCTGCCACCTGCTCAGAGGCTTAAATTTCTCTGCAAGGGCCCTTGGCTAAATTAGGTAATGGGCTAGGACTCTGGGATGGGGCGGGGGTTGGGGGGGAGGCACTCACTGACCCCAGGATCTGATTGGCTGGGGCAGCCAGTCCTGGGGAGCAGGGAGGTGGGAGGGGAGGGAGCCCCTACAAATCCTAGGGGCTGGAGCAGACCAGGGCAACTTTGGGTGGTGGAGTGTCTGAGGCGGTGACCTACAGCAGAGGAGGCCCTGTGACTAGCAACCATGGTAAGGACAAGAAAGGACTTCAGCCCTTTGCTTGCTGGAGCACCTCTGGACCTCTTCCAGGCCAGATCTGGGTGCTCTGTAGTCCAGTAATTGGATGTTTGAAGATGGACCGTGAAGGTTCCTGGAGCCTGGGTATCTAGAAGGAAGCCTGGGGAAGAAGCCCTTGGACTTCTCTAGAAAGGGGAGGGCTGGGATGTTCCGGGTATTGCCAACTCCCTGCAGACCTGAGGCTTTGGCAGTGTTGGTCATGGAAGTGTGAGGGGGTCCTAGCTTGTCTCTCTCATGGTAGAGGTGGGGACTCCGAGGGCCAGAGTGAGTCACCCAGTGAGCCAGTGGCAGGGGTGGGCTAGAAGCCTTGCCAAACCTTCCTACTGCCAGTGAGAGAAGACTCTTCTGGAAGAGGGGAGGTTTGCAGGGTCTCAAGTCCAAGAGCTTCAAGGGTGAGGAGAAGGGGCAGAAGAGGACAGACCCCAGCCTCTCAGAGAGGGGTTCTAATCTGGGGCTGTTATGTCTGCTGAGGTCCCCCACCCCACTTCACTTCAAGGGGTAACTAGACCCTGGAGGACAGCTGCTGTGGCCCACGCCAGACTAAAAATAGCCGACTCTCCTGCATGGACAAGGAGGAGGGAGGAGGGGAGGGGGGGGCAAGGAGGAAGGCATCAGCCAGCCCGCCAAAGAACACCTTGGCCACCTCAGCCCCTCCTCCTCACCAGCCTCAGTCCAAAGCCCCATAGCCAGTTGGCTTGGCTTGCATGTGGCCAGATCCCCTCTCTCGAAATCTTACTTTCACCTCCACAAGGCCCCCATTATATTCGGCCCAGCATGAGTGGT